AATTTGCAATATAGCTCAAGGCAAGAAGGGTTATTTGCCAACAAAAGACCTTCGAGTTCGATTACACTCAGCTCAAAGGCACAATATTTGCAGCATAGCTCAAGGCGATAAGGGCTATCTGCCAACAAAAAACCTTTGAGTTTGACTACGCTCGATTCCAAGGCACATCTTTTGCAGCATAAATCAAGGCTAGAAGAGTTATCTGACAACAAAATACCTTCGAGTTCGATTACACTCAGCTCAAAGACACATCATTTGCAGTATAGCTCAAGGAGAAAAGGGCTATCTGTCAACCAAGACCTTTGAGTTCGACTACGCTTAGCTCCAAGGCACATCATTTGCAGCATAACTCAAGGCTAGAAGGGTTATCTGCCAAAAAAAGACCTTCGAGTTCAATTACACTCAGCTCAAAGGCACATCATTTGATATATGGCTCAAGGCAAGAAGGGCTATTTGCCAACAAAAGACCTTCGAGTTCGATTACACTTAGCTTCGAGGCATATCATTTGTAGCATAGCTCAAGGCAAGAAAGTCTATCTATCAATCAATACCTTCGAGTTCAGTTACACTCAGCTCAAAGGCATGTCATTTTACAGCATAGCTCAAGTCAAGAAGGGATATATGTCAACAAAATTGTCGAGTTCGATTCCATTCAGCTCGATGACACATCAATCACACTACTGTCTGATTGCAGTCGAGGTTTTCAAGTCAAGAAGAAGACCTGGGTTAGCCGTGCCTTAGTGATAAGAAACCATTTTCTGGTAGCATAGCTTAAGTCGAGAAAAGCTATTTGTTAACAAAGACCTTTTGAGTTCGATTTCATTCAGCTCGAGGGCCTATCAACCGCATGGTGGAGTTAAGAAACAACTTTCCAGTCAAATTTTTAACCAAGGTCTTTAAACCGAGAAACAGACCAAAGTTGACCATAATTTGGCGATGAGAAGTCACATTCCGATTTAAATTTTGAATTGCGGCTTCAATCCCATATCATTTCAAGATGGACCCAACTTCGCAACGAAGTAGCCATCCGTAACTCAATTTGACAGTGAGTTATTCTTTCAGAGTCAATTTTTCAACTCCATCGAACGAAAACTTGTATCTTTTTGTCTTTGTCCTATTTTTCATTCCACGAAAAATGATAAAGAGAGGCAGCTGTCGACACTTATCTTCGTCCGATCGTGTTTTCACTTGTTATTATTTATTACATATAGTATATATATGTATTATATAATATATACGTACTATGTTATATACTTTAATAGTATGTATTATTACAGGCCTAAACATGATGGCCCGAATAATTACAAAGTTGCCTCAAATACAACACATAACCTAGTGGCCCAGCAGAGCACTTGGAGTAGCCTGAACCGAAAGCAGTGGTCCAACCCGAACTGCCCAGACCCGAGAACGTAACCCGCTGGATCCCCTGGACCGATTCAGACCAAGTTTGAAACCCTAGGGTTTCAAACTTCTCTCATCCACATGCACCGCAAGCCTCCATCACGCTGCACAGTCGAATCCCTCGGTCAACAGAGCCCGCCTTTTTCGGTGACGTGGTGTTAGAGGACTCATCAACCGCTAATAAAAACAAACAAACAATAAATATTAGTGTTCTACTCGGATTCAAATACCCAAAAATAGGGGTACTTGAACACTATAAATAACATGTAATCCCCACTATATTTTTCATGATTCGAATATATACAAGGCACACTCGAAATACAAGTAATTTTCACACCCAAAATATGCAAGGAATGATCATTCGAAGCATTTCTTTGCAATATTTTGAGAGAAAACAAAGGTAAAAAGGCTTACCCTTTCCGATTCTTGGCTTGCATGTTGTCTTCTTTGAGTGTATGATGCAACCGCCGACGAAAGGAGGGGGTGGTGGTCGAAACATTTTTCCTAGATCTACGCATTTCCGAGGCGTTTTTGAAAAAACAAACTTTGTTTTCGAGTAGAGGAGAAAAATAGCTTTTTAAAATTTTTTTTTCATGTTTCGCCGTCGTTCCGCCGATGAACATCGACCGACGAGGCGGCGTGTTCATCTTGTGGATGAGCAGATGATTGGAAAACATAAAGGGGAGGGATTGCGTTTTAAAAAATGAGGAAGTGAAATGTTTAAGGCCAAATCTTGGCCTTTATATGACCCATAATCCCGACTCAATGACCCGAGCGGATCCCTTAGGGGAACCGCATGTTTTTTAAGGAAGTGGGTAAATCACCCTTTTAGTCCCCTTTTGTTTTTAAATGCCTCATTCTGACCCAAAATTCAATTTTCACGTTAAATTTCCCTTTGAATTTGTCCCCAAATTTGATCTTTCTTTCAAATCAACCCTTATTATTATATATATATAATTATATTTTTCATTTATTGTTTATATTTTTTTTATTTAGGGTAAACTACGCCAATGGTCACTGATGTTTGAGTAAGTTTTTGTTTTCACCACTAACATTTCAAAAGTTACAAATAGGTCACTAACGTTATCGTTTGTGACAAAATGGTCACTGGTCGTTAACAGATGTTAAAAGGCATGACGAAAAATACAGCTGGACCGTTATCTGCTGAGTTGGATCGTTGGCCACCATTTTAACTGGCTCTTCTTCTTCTTCAATACATTCCCCATCTTCTTTTTCTTCACTTTTCTTCTTCTTTCTTTCTCTTCACTTTTCTTATTTTCCTCTTATCACACATATGACACAATCCTCGTCTCCAAAGGCCAAACCAAACACGAAAACTTAAAACCTCATCATCCTGGTCTCCAAAGGCCAAACCAACTCCGGCGGTAATCCTCACCATGACATCAATGTCATACCTGCTGATGAATCGGCTCCAAGACCCCAAGACCTCCAACCCTTCACCAGTCATCCTCCGCTGCCCCCAACCACCAAAAAGCTACCTCCACTGCTCTGCGGATCGGTCGTGTGCTCTGCCGTCCCATGGAGGATGTTCGGTCACTTACAACTTCGGTCGTGAGCTCGGGCGTGGGCAGTTTGATGTTACCTACTTGGTGACTCATAAAGAAACCAAGTAGCAATTCTCTTGTAAATCTATCGCCACCCGTAAGCTTATCAACCATGATGATATCGAAGACGTCCGCCGTGAAGTCCAGATCATGTACCACCTCACTGGCCACAGGTTTCCCCACCAAAACAAAACTATTATATTATATACCTGATTTTGTCATGGATATAGTTGTCTTAATGATTTCAACGGGTTTGATAGAAATATCGTGAAACTGAATGGGGCTTACGAGGACCGACATTTCGTGCATCTGATAATGGAGCTTTGTGCGGGAGGGGAGTTGTTTGACCGTATTATAGCGAAAGATCATTATTCAGAGAGGGAGGCGGCAAATTTGTGCCGGCAGATGGTGACAGTGGTGCATAACTGTCATTCCATGGGGGTTATGCATAGGGACTTAAAGCCCAGAATTTTCTTGTTCTTAAGTAAGGCCGAGAATTCTCTATTGAAGGCCACGGATTTCGGCCTCTCGGTATTTTTTAAGCCAGGTAAACAATTTTGGTTTCTCTAATTTGAATCTGTTTGATTTTGTTGAGACGAAACTTATGATTACTAATAGTGCTATGAGAATGCGATCAAAAGATTTATCGATGATAAAAAGCAAGGATATTAAATTTCTATCCTAATGAGGCTAGTTAGAGTTATATGGTTTAGGGGTTAAGTAATAGAGAAATCGTGATGATGATGAGGTTTTAAGTTTTCGTGTTTGGTTTGGCCTTTGGAGACGAGGATTGTGTCATGTGTGTGATAAGAGGAAAAGAAAAAAAGTGAAGAAAAGTGAAGAGAAAGAAGATGGGGAATGGGTTGAAGAAGAAGAAGAAGAGCCAGTCAAAATGGCGGTCAACCATCCAACTCAGCAGATAACGATCCAGATGTATTTTTCGTCACGCCTCTTAACAGCTGTTAATGACCAATGACCATTTTGTCACAAACAATAACGTTAGTGACATATTTGTAACTTTTGAAACATTAGTGGTGAAAACGAAAACTTACCCAAACATCAATAACTATTGACGTAGTTTACCATTTTACTTATTACTATTATATATACTATTTTTATTTCTATTTTTTTATTTTCCTATTTCTTTATCTTTATTATTGTTACAATATATATTTTACTATCACATATATTTTATTTTTTTATTTATTTTTATTTATTTTACATTTTCGGTTTTTTCTTTATTATTCTTCTTTAAACATTTTGTTCACATTCATAATCATTATATTTATTTATTTACTTATTTTACCCTTTTTTACCTTAACTCCGTTTTTATTTATTTATTTATTATTTTTTTCACTTTGCATGGTTATTGTAATTTTCTTCTTTGTTTTATGTATTTTATGTATTTATTTATTTTTATTATTTTATTTTTATTTTATTTTTTCTCATTCTATTTATTTTTATCTTTTATTTTCCTTATTTTATTTGTTTCTCCATTTTACTTTTTTTTTCATTTTTTTCATTTTTTTCGTAATATGTTTCTTGATTTTTTAAGGGCACAATTGAAATCAATCTAAGGTAAGTAATTTGGATCGTTATTTTTACCTCTTAATTTAAATTACGATTTTCTTAATCAAAGACAACTGGAAATTACGTAGTACTGAAAAAGTAGTTCAAGGGTACTAATCATTCATTGACTGTAACCGAACTTCCGGATCCGACACATCTTTGGTAAGACGCAAATCATGTAAGAAATAAGGTATCCGATCAACCCATTTGCTTTAAGATAAATGATCGGTGGCGACTTCTAACCCAATTATTCAAGTTGAAGCCCAATTCCGGGCCTAACCGAAAGACGATCGTGACATATAGATATAGATATATAGTACTAAGATTTTCACAAACCTTGAAATATTCATAAACTTCAAAGCTATTATTATTCTTCATAAACCCCCTCCATGCTAGAGAATTTCAGGCTCTGAGCTTAGTTTATGTGTAGGCAGCTTGAGCTATAAAAGATAACTGCAGCAGCCC